TGAAGTTGCTGTTACGTTGACACCTTGCGCGTTATCCAAATGTTCCATCATGTTATGTCTGCAACACAATGGTCACCAGTCATTTTTACAGCTTCTAAAGTGAAAAAAATATATTTCTACAAAGAGTGAGTACATGATCTAAAATGAGTTTTATATTTACTTACAAATAAACATCTGCTCGCAGCAGGGTTACCGGTGCGTAACAAGTTTTTGCATGATTTCGCATATCAACGAAATCATTAACAGTAAGAATTTTCGATGTGAATGTTCATGTTGAAAATATTTTTGTTGGTTATTTCCACACGAAGGGAAGCGATTCGTCGACTGAACCGGCAGTGCTGCTCTGTGGAGCGCTGTAAAATTCAGCTTTCTACCGTGTTTGACAAAACTGTAAATGATGTACCCACATGTGAGAAGTATGCGTGCGTGGAAGCTCATCTTAAGTTTGCGGGCTTGCAGATGAACAGTCAAAACAATCAAATAACAAACAGCAACGCGCACCAGACTAGCCGGTGCGATCATGCGTTTTGTGCAATTCAGCTCATCGAACGATTGCCTATTAGTGATTTTCACTGCTTTGTATTTTAGTCTACGCAGAAATAGTTCAAACACTGAAAAACAGTTAAAAATTTCACGCACCAGCGAATGAAAGCTGAACTCGAAACCTTGAAGGGTGAATATCTTTATCCCGAGTTAATAGTTTATCCGCCAAAATTTTCATGAGGCCACAGGTGATACTCAAGAGCGCAGGAACGCTGAATTCGAATAAGCAAGGTTGAGTGTGGCCAGGGGGATCATTACCCTAAAATTTCAGCCTCCTAAACTTCGTGTTTCCTGAGACACTGATTTACCCATAAAAAACTTTCACGGGGTCGTATGAGCTACCAGCGGGTACGGGAAGGCTGAATTTGAATAGGCAAGGCTGAGCGTGGGCGGGAGTCATTACTCTAAAATTTCAGCCTCCTAAACTTCGTGATTCCTGAGATATTAATTTACCCGTAAAAAATTTTCACCGGGCCGTACAAGTGTAGGGGAAGGCTGAATTTGAATTGGCAAGGTTAAGCGTGGGCAGGGGGTCATTACCCTAAAATTTCAGCTTCCTGGACTCCGTGGTTCCTGAGATATTAATTTACCCGTAAAAAACTTTCACGGCGCCGTACGAGCTACCCGCGGGTACGGGAAGGCTGAACTTGAATGGGCAAGGTTGAACGTGGGCAGGGGTTCATTACCTTAAAATTTCAGCCTCCTAGACTCCGTGGTTCCTGAGATATTAATTTACCCTAAAAAACTTTCACGGGACCGTACGAGTTACCCGCGGGTACGGGAAGGCTGAATTTAAATTTGCCGCGTCACCCGTTGGCGAGGAACACTATACCGAAATTTCAGCCGCCTAGCTTTTGTGCTTCCCGAGTTGAAAGTGCAGGACAAAATGTGGGGCATACATACACACACACAAACACACACACACACAGACAACCCCCTGACAATATGCGTTTTGTAACGCTGTTACATAGCACAAAACGCATAACTGTTACACAGCACAAAACGCATATCTACAGTTTTCTAAACAGCCCGATTCCCAATTTAAAAGGATGCCAAAACTGCACCTAACTGAACATTCATTTGTGCATTCGCGAAATGTTCCAGTTTTATGCGTTTTTGCCTATATGCAAATTGCAAAAACGCATATTGAGACGATCCCGTCTGTATGTGTGTATGTATGTATGTGCGCATGTGTGCGTGTGTGTGTGTGTACGTTTGTGTGTGTGTGTGTGTGTTCGTCTGTCCGGGTATTTCAACTCGACAACCAAGCAAGTTCCAGCGCCAAGATTTTGCTAATGGATACCCCGGCCAAGTACCAATTCAGAACCGCGGTGCCATCCCTCACGCACGTCTCGGCCCCGCGTACGAGAGGGGGAAAGTTTAGGCGGGAAAACTGATAACTCGGGAATGCGAAAAGATAGGAAGCTGAAATTTTGAGGTTATGTTCCC